GCAGTCCCTAGCTCTCAACAGGAACTATCATTACTCTACAGCTCTACTCAATTATAAACATAAAATAGCACAGAGTGAATATGATGACATAGGATGTTTTTAATTGGATTGGTTTCAGTCCCAAACTAGATCAAATCAAACAAAACTAAAACAGGCTAAGCCAGGCCAGACTTAGATAGTTGTAAAATACACATAGAATAGAAATCTACCTGATGAATTCAGACTAGACTTATAGAGACTGAAAATTCCAGTCCAATTAAAAACACCCATAATGTGAGTGAGACCTCTTAAGAAAATGGCACAAAACAAGATGATGTAATATGATGTTTCGCCTTCTAGTCTTTTAAGCCACCTCTCCCCTAACAGACTACTTTAATGGAAAAACATTATACTCCCTACGTCCTGAAATAATCTTCCTGTTTTCTGTGGTCTGTCCCAAGTATTAATCTTCATGTTTCCTTTATCGCACAATTGGGGTTGAATTGCTTAACTTGTTTCAACCCTAGTCTCAACCCCGAACTTTCATTTTCAATCATCTCAACCCTAGTCTCAGTGATGAACTTTCAATTTCAGCCACACTTTTTAATAGGTGTGCTAACACAAGAAGATTGGTTCAGGATAAAGGGAGTATGAAACAGGATACTGCAAGGAAATACACACGAAGAGAGGATGAGTTGCTCATTTATAAAGCTAATATGTGGAGGCCATAAGTATGTAGGTCTACCAGCATTATTATCTCATAGAATAGAAAAGCAACCTTGTAAAACAAATCTTCAACTTCTCTCTCCCGAATATCTTCAGGGAGATTGCCAACATAAATGGTCCTGCTTAGACGAGTCATTGCACCTGAAAGCATTAGAAAATATATGATACTAGTACTTGGTAAAAAGACTGTACATTATAAAAAAATGTACGTCTAGCTTAGTAGAAGTGTAAAACATGTATGTAAAAGGCAAGTGCTGAACATGATTACAAAGAAAAAATGTTTCATGGAAACAGACCAGTGCAAAACCGATAGAAGCCAACAGATTCCAGAGTCTTAAAATATATAATTAATTAACATCTGAGGCATGGAAATTAAGAAATACGGAGTAATAAAAGATTCTCTTGAACCACAAACTTTAACAAATCAACATCCAACCTGTGAAAAATGTCTACTTTTGGAAATAAAGAGTGAATGTACATGCTCTGCGATACCTGGAAACTGAGATTTCTATGTACTGAATTGGGAACACTCCCTAATATGGATGGAAAGATATAAGAATTGCAGAGATAACCCTAAATATCTAAAGTTGTATCCTTCTCTCTGCCTCGGTTTAACTGTTCTGTTTGAATGCTAATGAGGAATTAAATAATCTTCAGAAAACAAGAAGAGAGTAGACCAGGAAAAAGTTACGATTTTGCTGTATTATCAGCAACAAAAGAACAAACGGCGTTGTTTAAGTTGGGAATTGAGAAGCAGCAAAAGCAATCCAGCAATCAAATTCGAAAAATATAATCAAAATAATACCTTCAATCAAAATGGAACGCAGAATTGTCGACGCTCAGATCAGGGAAGACTCCACACGGTGAACTGAGGAAGTAAAACGGCACCAAGCGTAGTCGTAAATGCGGAGTATACTACTCGCACAGCGAACTTGGGCTAGAGAGGACACGTGATTTGTGGGAGCTTTCTTAGAAAAATCAACCATTTTTGGTACAAATTTTGTATTGGAAAATGCTAGGAGTACACAAGTTATACACAACTTGTACACACAATTTCGGTCACAGACAATTGGTACGGAGTTGTGTATGACCACAAACAAGAGTTGTTTGTGTACACACAAAAATTTTGTCTGTTTCCACAGACATTTACTTTTTTGTAAAAAGTACTTGTCAGTGTCACACGGCTCTCTGTGTACTTTTTACAAAAAAGTAAATGTATGTGGAAACAAACAAAATTTGTCTGTGTACACAGACAACTCTTGTCTGTGGTCACAGGCAACTCCGTACCAATTGTCTGTGACCGACATTGTGTATACAAGTTGTGTACAACTTGTGTACCCCTAGCATTTTACTTTTGTATTTACGTCAAAATTCTACAAACAATTTTGTCAAGTCAGGTAATAAAAAATAATGTCTATCTATAACAAAATACGGAGTAATTCAATATCACACAAAAAACACTCTTTCGTTCTATTTTGTCAAATTTCATTTTTTTTATTACAAATTTTTCGGAACTTTTCATTAAAATAAATAATTTGTGTTTGTGTTAATTTTTTCTCATCTTCACAAATTTCAACTACTCGATTCTTTACTTTTATTTTTTATTTTTATTCTAATTCAAATTTGACAATGTTCAATGCGGCGATAATGTCAATATAAAGTGTTCAAAAAGGGGTAAAAAATACACATCTATGGGCATGTTTGACAAATGGCTTATTAGCCAGCTTTTAGCTTGGATAATGGCAAGAAGCTAATAATAGTGTTTGGTAAATGGCTTCTAAAATTAGCTTGTTGAATTTGAAAACTGGAAAAATGGATGGTTGAAGAAGTTAAGGGGAGCAACTTCTTCATTCGGCTGGTTCAATTTACACTCTATCAGCCATTTCGAAACAACCAATTTTACCAAACAGTTATTTATAATCAGCTAACGTAACAAGCCGGTCAAAACAGCTAACACAACCAGCTGTTAAGAAACAGCTGATACAACCAGCTAACAGCAACAGCTAACAACCATTTAACAAACAAGGTTATAGTGTGTATACACAGGGGAGAACAAGATTAGGGCGCTTAGTGAAAGAGCTTGACCCTGATAATACATATGAGCCACTGAGTAATGGACATCTACGTATTACATAAAAAGTACGGGGTAATAATTTATTGTTTTATATATGCTATTTTTTATGCTTTTTAAGAATGTTATGTTCATGACTCATCCACGTTTCCTGCATCGTATACGGTTCTCCTAGTTGAGTTTTTCCGGCGGAGATTTTACTCTTCTTATTTGGCGTTTATTCTTGTTATAAGGGGGGCGCGCATAAAGCTTTCATTTGGCTCTCTTTTTCTCATGGTTGTTGTCAATTTTAAAGGGGGCGTGAGTACGGTTGCATATTTAGGAAACGAATCCAGGATTCAAGAAACGATAAACATGTCTTCTATGGAAGATCTAGAACAATGTTGTCTCATTCTTGCAATTAAGGAGGAGCTTGAAGGGTTAATTTCTGGCGAATCAACATAGGTAGAGGGTGAAGGACCGGCGAGATGCTATGGTTTGGAAGATTTATCAATTATTTAAATTTTTTTATGGTTTTATTTTTGCGTTTTTTATGTTGCTCTGTTTTTGTTGATGTCTTGAGTTTTAGGTCTACAATTATGATTGACAAATCTGCTAGATATTATGTCGACGGAAGGATCTATATGGCCAGTGATTGTTGTGTCACATCCGTTTGGTGGTTAGCGGTTCGTATTGCTTTTTTGGAGATTATTGTCTCTGAGTCTAGTCGTAGTGTTGATAGTGCTAGTTGGTTAGGGATAGTTGTTGTCAGGGTTGGTATTTTTGAGTTTGTTGTAATGATTCCTTTCCTATGGTTTTAATATAAAGCGGTCTGTTTTGATGATAAAAAATGTTATGTTCATTGGAGGAAGTAAAAGTGATTATCACATTTTGTATTGATTGTCAATAAAAATCTAAATTGTCTTTTCACGTATGAGTTTAGCAGACTTAACATTTTGAACCTGTTTAGTAGCTCTTGTTTTGAGCTTGACAGTTAATCATGATTTGTGTAATAATCAAAATAAGTAAGGAGACATTAACCTTTCTAACCGAATTAATTGAAGTTATGAAATAATTTTGTCTTTTTCGTATAATTTTTCTTTGCTTTATTAACTATTAGAGCCTTCGGCACCGGAAGGGACATTCCGTCTAGTGTTTCTCAACATCCGACTACTACATTTAATATTGCGCCACGTGCCCGCACCATAGGGAAATCTCTGTCATAGATTAGCTTACATGTGTGTGTGCATTTGACGCACCTAACATTTATGACTCGTTTAAATAGCAGTCCCTTGGGCAGTTGTAAAAGACCATTGTTCTACGATTGCCATCTCTCTCTCTCTCTCTCTCTCTCTCTCTCTCTCTCTCTCTGTCTTTTACTTAATAACTTTGTCTTTTCTCTAGATACTGCTACTGGTATCCCAGTATTAGCTATTTATCAATCACATCCAAGATACATATAAATAAATAATAAATGTTTTTTCTAAAAAATTGTTAAATAAACTTTTGGATAAATAGACGAGTAAACATAACATTAGAAATATTAAAGTGTTATTTTAACTGATATACTAATATTAATCAGTTAAAATATTGATCGGTTAAAATAACACTTTAATATTTCTAATGTTATGAGAATAACATTAGAAATATTAAAATATTGATCAGTTAAAATAACACTTTAATATTTCTAATGTTAGAATTGATTTTTAACTGATATACTAATATTAAAATATTAGTTTAAATTGTTAAAATCAACAGCTTGTAACTGATAACACTTACAAGCTGAATTGATTTTTTTTCTCATATCTAAAATTAAAATATTGATCAACAGTAACACAAAGTAAGTTCAATGTGTTTTTGGAACAAAAATGCTATTTGTACACGACAGTTTACACGTCGAATCTATTTTGTACTAGTACTTCCTCCGTTCTTAAATAACTTAAATGTGCAACAGTCAATATTTCACACTTATCGAGACACAACTTTGACCCTTAATATATATACGAATTAATTCTCTATCAGTAAAAAATGTAAAAAAATCAGTTTTTGAAAATTTACAATAAGACAAATTTAATAATATATTTTTAAAAAATATATATTAATACATCAATAAATAAAATGTAGTCAAAGTGGAACATGTGAATAGTGTAAAATTTCACTGTTAAACTTATTTAAGAACGGAGGTACTATATGAATACACAATTGATTTTCATTTAATTTTTTTTTTTTTTGAATTTGTATATTCATCTCGGCAAAACAATGGACAAAGGATTCAAGGAGGCGCTGATTCTACATTCCGAAAAGATGCGCGCCCACCGGATTCTTCACGGGTTATATACATCGACGAACGATCATCATCACCTATTCACCTCTACCTTCTTCGTCAACAATTTTCTTTTGGCATTCAACCCTAGGAATTTCTCCATCCCATCTTTAACAAACCAGAAATGGCAGATTCCCAGTCTACCCCCAAGTCCACCTTCGATTCCGCCAAAGAGTGGGTCTCTGAGCACAAGCTTCGCACCGTCGGTATGGATTTTCGATTCTTCTGCACTTCTGCAATAGTTCTTCATCACGTTTTTTATTTATTCACAATAATTTTTTAATTTCGTTTGAAGGATGTCTGTGGCTGAGCGGTATTACGGGATCTATTGCATACAATTGGTCAAAGCCCAATATGAAGACCAGCGTCAGAATTATCCATGCCAGGTGCTTGCTTTTTCATTGTTCTAACTGCAATTTAAATTTGTCTTTTTGAGCTCTTTCAATTTCATTTCGATTGATTTGTGTTTGTTATTTACCTTTTTATCCTCATTTTTTTAAAGCCTATGATTAAAGGACGGTGAAAATGATTTAGGTCATCAAAATTATAGTTTCAATTAGTTATCGAAATTAAAAAAAAACTCAGGATGTTCTTCCTAGTCTCAACTCTCAACCTTTTAAAAAAGGAATAATGAGATAACGTGCCTGCAACATACATCATTACACAAATATAGAAATACTATGGGAAACAATGATTTGAGATATTTGTAGTGTTAATCTTATTGTATAATTGATATGGAGTATTATGTTGTGGGATATTTTTTTTCTTTTCTAAATTGTATGCTCCAATACATTTATGCACAATATAAAGGTTTTAGATGTAGCTTGAGTAAATCTTAATCTTAATCATCAAATGTCAATTTTAAATTTACTTTTGAGAGGCACATAGGGTTGGAATTCTCACTGGACTTGCCATTATATATTTAAACTCAAGTCACTCAATTGTCAATATGGGATCTTGATTGTTCTTTGGTATTAACCATTGTAAAATCCTCCACTGTAGTCTGTAGCTAAGAGTTTTTATTCTACAGTATTCATAGCAGAATCTTAGTTTAATTGCATCTTTCCTTGACTAAGAATGACCTGCAGTCTTTCAAGTGAAGGTTAAGCAATGCCTTATAGAGCTTATGATTGTATGTTTTGGTTGTCAATTATATGAAAACTGTTTTTTGGTTAGTAGTTTAGTGTTTATAGTCTGAACTGGCATGTGGCTTTTCTTTTGTTATCTTCTGGATTTGAGACGTTTGGGGGATTATAAAGAAGATAAACTTAGTTGGTGCCTGTTTTGTAAGCCCATTTTTTGCTCATGAGTCTTATGAAACAGTTCTTTACTCCGTACTAAACAATAAATCTTTGGTTGAACGTGGTGAATGGGTTAATAATGAAAAAATAAGCTCAGGTGTGTTCTTTTGCTGAACTGGCCGAAGAGAACAATTCTAGCTTTTTTCCCACATAAAAATTTATTTTATTATTAACATATACTCCGTATATTTTAATTATGATTTGTTTTTTCTAATTCAGCCATAACTAAAACAATCTCAAGAGATTCAAGCACATGTACTCAGTATAACCAAAATACCAAATGGGCTCTTATTCATACAATAAATTTTAAAAATATAATTAGCATTCATGATTTATTAGAACTGTTTTTTAATTAGAACTGTATGTTATTGGCTGATTACCAAAATAAAGTAAAACGTACATTGATGAAACATGACTGTATCTTGGGATGAGAGGAGTATTTACTTGTCTATTTTTATTTTTAGGTTGCACGCGCAGGCTTTTACGCTAGCTGCATTAGCGGGGGCGGCAGTGGTCGAGTACTATGATCACAAAATGGAGAAAAGTGACCGTTATGCCAAGTTTCTTCAACTGGACACCGTTTCACAGAAGAAATGAACACTCAGTTTTCTTGATGTGTTATGCAACACTGAGCATTCCCGAACTGAGCGGTTCATATGTTGTAGCTTCTTGTAGCTTCTTTCTTTCTTTCTTCTTTTTCTTCTTTTTAATCTCAGTTTTCTTTTAGTAGCACGCATCTAGCCTGTAGTTTGCTGTAATATTCATCTCATGAGATGGTGCAAATATCTGCAAGATGGGCATATCAAAATCTGAAATAATACGAGTCCTCTCTGGCAAGTGGCAAAGGAATTCCTATATGGTCACATCCTAATGTGTTATGGTTTTAAACGGAAAAATAGATTTATATGGGTTATGTTGAATTTATATGGCATATTGGCATCCACATGAAAAGTCTTATAGAGCTATAATTTCCAAATTTTAAAGGATGAGTACTTAATAAATTGAATGATTAAAGTCAGGCTCTGTTTGCAATCACTTAAAATAAGTGATTGTGGCTTTTTTCTAAGAAAAAAGTACTTATTTTTCCAAACATTATCAACTTTTACTTTCTCGGTTTTCGTGTAGAATCTATTTTTTTACTTTTTCTATTACACAAAAAACACTTATTTTACCAAACACTACCAACTTTTACTATTAACCACTTTTTCCCAAAAATTGCTTTTATTTAAGTACAACCATTTGCAAACAAACCCTCAGGCGTGCTTGTATCAAAGCATGTCCATATGAGCTCTTTAACTTACTTGGTAAAAGATGTCCATATGAGCTTTAAGATGAATAAAGAATGAGAAAACTTTCTAAATAGGAGTAATTTGTCTCACATGATGAGACTGCCATCCCCCATCCATCCCTAATAGGATTCATTGTCTTACTATTTTGTTCTTTGTTAAGTGCATGTATGACCGATATATCTTCTAATTTTTGTACTATTTAAAAAGTCTCTAGAAACATTTAGTTGTACCTTTGGCATGACAATTTTTAAGAACTTTTTAAATGATAAAAGCTCTTTTTTGAGATGTTATAGAGAGTAGCATCTGAGAAAAGTATGTGGCTTTTAGTATTAATTAGTCTTAACAACTTGTATACTAAACAAAACTAAATCAAACGGTCAGTTTTTTACCAAACAGTTACCACCTTTTCCTTTTAAGATCTTTGCAGTCATCAAAAGTTAACCATTACTAAAAAACTCACAAATGTATCTTTTTAGCTAGTTGTGACAAACATATCCTAAGACTAAATAAAGTCTTATTATTCAAAGTTATTTTCAATTAAAAGAAATACACGGATTGTTTAATTAAACCCTGTTATCAATTCGTTCAATCATTTTGCTTCGATTTAAAGAGTTTGGTAGCGGGAGGTAAGCATTTTTGGTCGCTGTTGCTCGGTCGGTTTAATTATATTAATATAAGTTTCCTTTCAAAAACATATTCTTAATTGAGACATCTATGGCGCGTTTACTTATTTTTTTAGTTTTCTGTGTTTGTTTTGTGTTTTCATTTTCCAGTTTTCTATTTTCTAAATATGAACACGTGTTTTTCAAATTTCCTTCATTTTTCGTTTGATTTTTCAAAACTACAAAGCAAGTATATATATCGAGGAATTGAAACTTGATAGAATCGAAGGCGGAAAAATGACATTATCAAACACAATTAAAAAATATATATTTGTGTATAATGCAAAATACTCGTAATAGGAAACATTTGAAATAAGACAAAAAGTTTACATAAATGATAATCCATGAACAAAAATTAATAAGTGTCGTTTTTTAATAAGAGGCTACATTGTCTTGAAAAACAAATACATAACACTATTGATAGATAGCTAATATCGGGATACCACTAGTGGTATCTACAGAGAAGGCAGTGGCCCGTTACAAATGCTCAAAGGGTTGCTGTTTATATTAGTCATAAATGTTAGGTGCAATAAATGCACACACACTTGTTAACTAATCTATGTTGGGAAGCCCCCCAATGGCTGGGACTCGAGCATGTGACACAACATTACATGCGGTACAGGGGCGGATCCAGGAATTTGAGATGCCCTGAGTTGAATAGAAATTATACTAGGTTTAAATATTAGAGGGGTGGGCTAAACATGAAAAATTAAAAGATTTACACTAAAAAATGAAAATTTTCTAAGTTGTCATGGACTTCAGCCTACCATAGCTTGTACATAGATCCTCCCCTGATGCCAGTGATGCAGTAGTTGGGCGTTGAGGAAAGCTGGGTGGAGTGACTATCTATGCTGCGGCCTTTGGCCTCTGTGTCGAAGACTTTTGCCGACGAATTGCTTGAGAAATTGAATGTCCCAATTCTCTTGTAGGGGCGAATCGGAGTCAATGCCAGAGTTTTGAGCCTTCAGGCTTGGACCCAAAGGGTGTTCATTGTCGTGCTCGGGTTTTTTACGGTGTTTGGGCCCATTAGAGATAGCAGAAGCAGAATTATCTCTTAAAAAAAGATAGCAGAAGTATGTCGATCGGGGGTCCTTGATCATATATTCGATCAACTATTGATACTTTGATGCCTCAAACATTTAATCATGTGAAATTGCAATCAAACGTAATGCATTTATTGTTGTTGAGAAATAGAAATGGGATCGTTTAATTTTCAAAAACAAATCCCGAGTTCTTTCATAGTTTTAAGTTAAACAAAATACTACAATTATAGCTACCGTCAAATCAAAAAGTGTTTTTGTCAAATTTCTTTTAAAGCCACATATCTTTCCATAATCTATGGATCACACTTCAGAGGTACTATTAAAAAAAATTATATCAGGAAGAATTATGATACATAACAGTAAGTTATAAATTAAAACACTTAAAACATGAAAATTGATTATCCTAATTTAACAAATAAAATATATTATATTCAACATACACGGTTGCATAGATCTAAAAAAAATATGTAGTTTGAAAGAAAAAAATTACCTCGATTTTAAGAGGCTACATTGTCTTGAAAAACATAATACATTTTTCTAAAATGTATTAGAGATAGCAGATGCAGAAGTATGAAACTGTGAAAAATAAGAAAAAATAGGTAATGGAGCACCAAACAAAATACAAGACGTAGTGTAGCACTGCCTATTTTCATTTTGAAAAACACTAAAAAGTGAGTTCTCTAATTGAAGAAGAAAATTAGAAACATGCCATTATTTTTCAATTTTGGAGAATAAATAGGTAATCGTGTTTTCAGAATAAAAAAACATTTCTTTTAGTAAACGAGCCCCTAAATTTAGAAGAAAAATCCTCAACAAAACCCATCAAAATTTCACCTAACACTACCATTTATTTTGGGCCAGACTAAAGTCATTTTTTGAATATAGAGATATCAAATACGGTCTGATAGCCCAAGATCATAATCGCGGCTCGCATTAAACCCTATCGCAATTCTCTTTATCACATTTCCTTCGCCGCGGAAGCTCCTCATCTCTCGTCGCCGACTCTTTCTCAGGTAGTCACTTCCCATCCCTTTTATCTCTCATTTTTCTCGTAAAATATTGTTTGTATATTTATGCGAATCGATGGTTGAAAATGTTCGCAGGTAAAGTAGAGTCAAGATGAGCAAAGGCAGCACAGGCGTCGTCAAGGGAGGGAAGAAGAAGGGAGCAAGCTTCGTGATCGACTGCTCCAAGCCAGTCGAGGACAAGATCATGGACATTGCCTCACTCGAGAAGTTCCTCCAGGAGCGCATCAAGGTCGGCGGCAAGGCCGGAGCCCTCGGCGACTCCGTCACCGTCACTCGTGAGAAGACAAAGATCACCGTCACATGTGATACCAATTTTTCCAAGAGGTAGTCTCATGTATTGAGTTTACCAATTTTCTCTCTGTATTGAGTTTTGCAAATGCATTGAAGTTGATTTTCGTCAGGTTTAAGAAGTGAGTACACATGTAATTTGATAAGTTTTTTTTTTTTTTTTGCTGAAATGATAATTTGATAAGTTTTTTTAATGCAGAAGTAGATGTCTTTTATGCTTAGGTTTAGCAGATTTGTCATTTACATACATTCAATTCAATAGAAGAACCCTAAAATTTCTGAATGTAAAAATGGATGCCATACCTCTCTGTCTTATGTTGTTAACTATGTAGAATTAGATGACTACTATAACTCCTATCTCTAAGTTTCTGTCTTTAAGGATATTGATGGTGCCATTATGCATATAAGGCAACACATGTATGCACGTAGCCTATACGTGTTGTGGCTAAAATGTAAAGTTGCATAGTTTTCTTTATCTTGTAGGAAAATCTTCTTACACCCAAAAGTTTATGTGAAATCCTGATTGTAATGTGATTATGTTTAATGCTGGAAGAAGAGTGAATGTCTGCAGTTCATTTACTAGGCACTCTTGTTTTTTTTGCTTAAAGTAGGTTGAAAACACTCAACCCATGTAAGTAGGGGAGAAGTGTAAATGTAATTGAAACTGATTTTATCTATTTTTTTATAAGATTGCATGAAAACAAACTCTTTACCTTTCCCTCCAACTTGCCTTTTTAAAATCATTTATATTTTCGATTACCATAAATCACGTTTTTTCATTATATCTAACATCAATCACTTCTCAACATTGTAACACAAATGCAATAGAAACACCAACACATGTCTAACTGCTGAATTGATGATGGCTGCTGCAATTTAACAGGTATTTGAAATACTTGACAAAGAAGTACCTAAAGAAGAACAATGTGCGTGACTGGCTCCGTGTCATTTCTTCAAACAAGGATAAGAATGTCTATGAGTTGAGGTATTTCAACATCGCCGAGAATGAAGCCGAGGATGAAGATTAAGTGTGCTTATCCCTACTTTCTTCCATATCTTTTGGATTTTGAACCCTGTAGTTTTGAACACTTTGATATTGTTATTGTAGTACTTGTTTTAAACATCTTCCATTCTCTGAATCAGGTATTTAACATTTTGCAGTTCTTGATTCATCATTTTTACTTTTCACATAGGATGCAATTTTTAAAACATGTCTAATAGACAAATACTATGATGCAATATCTAAAATATGTCCAATATTAATTTATGACTGTTATATTTTCGACTTACGAAGTACTCCCTCCGATTCAAAAACAAGTTCCATCTTTCCTTTTCAGGCAGTTCCAAAATTAAGTTTTACTTTCAAATCTTTCCTTATTTGGCAAATTATCTACATCAAAACAGTGCCAAACAGTGCACAGTAAAGTCAAATCTCTTTTCTTAATATGTGTGAAGTCAAGTGTGGAACTTGTTTTTGAATCAGAGGGAGTATAACTTAGTTGATGTCATCATATATCAATATAGAGGTATACTGATCTTTAAGTTTGTAGATTTCAAATCAACCAAAAATAAAAGATTTGCTCAAGGGAAAACTGTCAAATTGGCTCTTAAAGTAGGGGTGGGCATAAAATCTG